AGTTGGAATTAGATTGAGTAGGATGAAGATATCGCAAAATTTGTATGTCGGTGCATAGTGTATTGGAAGCGGCTCTTCCTAGCTTTCGGGAGGGGCGTATGGCACGAATTCGGGACATTCAAACGGTCACTCAACTGGGAAGGAAAGAGGTGGAAGAATCATTGCAGCTAGCTAGTGCTCAGTTAGAGGGTTGTGGATATCGCTTATTGCCTGGGAGTGTTAGTCGAGTAGATATGGAAGGCCGAGTTATTCTACCTGATCGATTAGTATCAGAGTATACGCATGTGCTTAGTTCGTTTTCTCGTTGTGATTTTGTTTATTTAGTTAAAGATAGGGCGGTTAGATCTGAAGATGTTGAACGTATTTGTCCGGATGCTCAGAGTCTGGTCGTACTAGTGACTTTGATTGGTTTACAAGGACCAGAAACAAGTCAGGAATGGCTAGTTGCTGCAGCTAATGCCGTAGGAATTAGTGAAGAGACAGTCACTAAGGCAGTGCAGGGTAAGTGGCTGGCTCGGTATAAACGAGGTGAAGAATGGCTAGTTCGCACTGGCTGGCGGTTTTTCTTCGAGTTTCCAGAGTTCTCCATTGAGAAGTATTTAGAGCTGCTCCACAAGACAGCTAAGTAATTGAGTTGAGTTAGGTTGAGTTAGGGTTAGGCTGAGTTGAGTTAGTACAGGATTAAGACTATAATAAATTGAAGTGACAGTATTAGGTTATGTAAAGGTAAGTTAAGTTGGGCAGAGTTAAGTTAAGTTAAGTTAAGTTAGGTTGGGGTGGTGTGGTGTTGATTGATTGCTTTATAGGTGAATTAAGTTAGTATTGGGCTAGTATGTGGTTGTATGAGTACTGCTCTTTCTTTCATACAACTACATACTAACTCATTTAGTTTAGATACTTGTTCGTCATATCTAATATTTGATTTGGGATGACGTCATTTTATCCAACTCAACCATATTTATCTAATAAAGAGCACCACTTGAATTTAAACTTTCCTTAATGATATACTAACCCAACCTGAACACTATCTATCCTACTGGATCTTAAACTATATTTTGATTACATTAATACCTATTATGCTAGTACGACTTTTATTAAGTTAGTCTTGATTGATCTGTTTACGATAAGTAATAAACGAGTTGGATTGAGTTAAGTTAAGCTGGATTTAGATAAAATACTCGATTAAAGTGCTTATGGCTGGGATTGTGAGGCAAGTTCTTGAGTTACCCGGGCAAGAACCATATCAGTCGGCATATGATGGGTACTCTGTCCTTTCGACCTTTCTTCAACCATTTCCTTCATGGCTTCTCCATAAGCAGACGTAATGTCATCAGAATAACAGTCTATCCGACTAGCAATCGCACACTTGGCACTAAGATACCTACTAATTCGTCCTCGCATTTTCAAAGCACAAGTATTGATAAAGGAAGAGTGGAAGATCAAACCATACTTAGGAGTTTTAGCCTTAGACTTCATAGCTCGGAAAAGAGCTTTCTCAGCCCCAAGTACTTGAATAGTAGAGGCCGGGCACATAGCTAACTTACTTAAACCGCCCGCCTTAAGAATCAAACGAGCAGCCACAATATTACCTACTAAAGCGGCTAAATTAGGTGCCACTGTAAGCATTTTAGTCTCTAAATGAGCAATAGCTTTGTTACGCATAGTGATCTTCTCCACTACAATCTCGGCTAAATCTTTAATATTAGTCAAATCTTCAACTGATAAATCTCCACCAATAGTTGAATCCATAGCGGCTAAAATCTCAGTTCCACTAGGCAAAGCCTCTACTGCCTTGCGATCAGCAGTTTCTCTTTGGCCAATTGTCTCTAAGGCTTCTAAGTACTCACCGGCATCCGTACAAATACTAGTGAGTTCTGGGAAGTGCCAAGCATACATCTCCCGAATCCGCATATAATAATCATTAATATCAATATTAGTCTCATCAATCAAAGAAATACATTGCATTACTGAATTGTCTTCACGCTTACTATCATAATGAACCTTCTTCCGGGACATAGCATGGGCTAAACTAAGCTCTAACTTCTGAGTTGAAGCCTCATCCATATCTACTACTTTGTTGATAAACTTGCGTACTGCTCTTAGTAACTCAATTGAAGTCTCTTCACTTACAGTCTTAATCCCAAGATCTTTTAGGCCTAATCCATAAGACTTATCAGCTGCTAATTTTGTTACATTATTGATTCTTAAAAACTCAACTAGTCGAGATGAGATCTTTCCTTCTGCAGCCATTTCCATTTCCAGTTGAGTTTCAGTAAAATCACTATGTGGTAAAGTGCCTACTACTTTGAATGTCTTAATAAATGCATTGTAATTCTCAATAGACTTAAGTATATTAGTGGCAGATAAAGCATCAATATCTTGGGCAGTCAAAAGAATATAACCGATTGGATGTTCATAGAGTAAGTGAACCATGTAAACGAAAAAAATTACCAAATAAGTACATATCTACGTCATATTTCAATCCAAATCTAGAGAAAAATCAAGTTTATGTTTATCTCATATCGAAGTAAATACCAAGTCCTAACTCAAGTAGATGTTTCCTGCTAAGTTCAGTCATAAACCATCATACTTTATTCATTTCAACCCAAATGCAAATGAGTTTATCTTACAATAATCATACCACTACAATCACTATAGTACTTAACTCAACTCAAACTCAATCCAATACTAAACTCAAACTCAATCCAATACTAAACTCAACTCAAACTCAATCCAAACTCAAACTCAATCCAATACTAAACTCAATATTAACTAGATCTTTTCTAATTTAAATCTGAAGAGATAACTTGAGAAATCCTAACTCAATACTAAACCTAACTCAATACCAAATCCAAACCAAACCAAACCAACTTAACTTAACTTAATCTTATTTCAAAATTCAAATTCAAAACAGGATGACGTCACCAGTTTGAATATTACCATATTTAGAAAGCAGAAAGAGAAATTTTAACGATGGCTGAAAAGGGTGAGAATTTCTATAGAACTAAAGAGAAATTAGCCTACTGGAAAATGATCCGTGGTGGTAAACCCACTAGAGATGCTAAAGGACGTATTGTCAAACATGCAATTTTTCAAAATCCAACTGCTGAACCGGGTCGGATTGAAAATTCCCGATCTTGGTTTAGTTCAACTCGAACTACCGATCAGCGCGAGTTAGAATCTTTCCGAGAAGACTTAGCTAATACGGCTACAAATGCCTACAAAGTGATTTTAGATAAGGGAAAAGTCCCCATGAGTTTAATCCAAGAGGAGAAAGAGAAGAAGATCAGACCAATTATCTCCTATGCCGATACGTTTGGCAGGAAAGCTACGCGTAAGAAGGTTAAATTAAGTGTTTCATCCATCCAAGAACTGGCTAGTAAGTCCAGTAGTTCCCCAGCCGTAGAAGAAAAGGAGTCCACCAAAGAACGAGCTGATAACAAGGACCGAGTCTACCTCAAAGGCCAGAGCAGAAGAATTTGGGCTGAGTTGTACAAAGTTTTGGATTCTAGTGATGTTATTGTTCATATTCTTGATAGCCGAGATCCTTTAGGCACTGAGTGTCATAATATCAGAAAGTATTTGAAAGATCATCCGCATAAGCACTTGATCTACCTCCTTAACAAAGTAGATCTTTTACCAACTGGAGTTACTGCTAAGTGGCTGGCTTACTTTGCTAAAAGCACTCCTACTTTGGCCTATCATGCAGCTTCTTTAGATAAGAATTATGGCAAACAAAGCTTAATTAACTTACTTAGACAGTTTGCTAAACTTCATCCAGATAAGAAGCAAATTAGTGTGGGTTTTGTGGGGTATCCTAATGTTGGTAAAAGTAGTGTGATTAATACGCTTAAGTCTAAGATTGTCTGTACGGTAGCTCCTATTCCTGGGCAGACTAAAGTCTGGCAGTACATTTCTCTGATGAAGAGAATCTATCTTATTGACTGTCCTGGGATAGTACCTACGGCTGATAAGGATGAAACTGCAGTGGTTCTTAAAGGAGTTGTTCGAGTTGAGAACATTACTAATCCAGAGTATCATATTGAAGGTATTTTTGCCAAAGCTGATCCTAAACACCTTCATAACTTCTATGGGATTGATCCTAAAGACGGTTGTATTCCATTTTTAGAAGCACTAGCTAAGAAGTCCGGTCGTCTTTTAAAAGGAGGAGTTCCTGATATTTCTGCCGTGGCCAAGAATGTTATTCACGACTGGCTGCGTGGCCGTATTCCCTACTACGTTCTTCCCCCGGCATAATTCAATCTTATCTAATACTAACTTAATCATTAAATTACTTATCTTATACTAATACGTATCTTATCTTTATCTTATCTTATACTAACTTAACATAATCTAATCATTAAATCACTGCAGTACCACTACACAACCACTAGTCCTTCTCATACCAAATCGTTTATTTATTGACTGATCGCACACGTATTAGGTTAGTAGATTAGTATAAAACTCGAATTATGTCAAATTTTAACGGCTACCCTGGGATTATTAAAATTTGAGTATGACGTCATATCATCGTCTATATTCAATAAATGGCCGACTATGTCATATTGAGAACTCTCACTGATGGAATTTGTATTAGTCAAAAGGATTGAGTTAGTATACTTATCTTATCCTGATAATAAGTTCAAAACTGATTTTATCTTATACCACCTTAATCTTATCTTATCCCAACTCAATACTAACTTAACTATATACTAATGCTAACTCAACTCAAACCCAACTCAATCCTAACCCTAACTCAATCCAACTCAATCCAAACTCAACCCAACTCAAACTCAACCTAACTCAATACTAACTCAAACCCAACTCAACCTAACTCAACTTAACTGAGTATGTTATCATTTTATTCATTACCTAACCTATTTTTTACTTTGTCTACTCCTTCAAACTATATCTTTATTCTAATTATCCTAAATCAACTCCATCAAAACCAAAATCAAAACCTAATCCAAACATATCACATCTTAATCATAACCTAATCAAAATCAAAACAACTTAAATCCAACCTAAATACAATTTATACACATTTATACACTAATAACTTCATACATACTTAAATATCTAAACACTCCTAAATCCAACTACCTCATTTTCAAGCTTGAATCTTCCCCAATCTATCTATAACTCTAGACCAAGACCACATCGTATATAAATGCCCCAATATTTTTTGCGGAAATGAAAGAAGTCCGAGAAGTGCAAGACCGAAATTTGAACCAATTAGATACAAAAAAGGAAACTAAAGCTAAATCTCTAAGTAAAAAGAGATCCCTATCTAAATCTAAAGAAAAGGAAGGTAAAACACCCAGTCATACGCAACGAATAGGCCAAATCCAAGAGAAAATTAACACACTCTTAGAAAAGATAGAGAGAATTGAACTAGCTCGTTCGCATAGTTTATCAACACAAGAGAATAATTTAGCCAGCAGTCCAGTCCCTAGATCTATAACTAATCCTACTAAATCAACTACACCTTCTGAATCAAGCAATACGCCTACTAAAGAGTCCAAACTAAGCAATGGATCTCTGCCGACTGAATCTCGCTTACATACTAAGGACGTTTTGACCGAAGAGAAACATACTTGGGAAGAGTATGGCTTAAATAAGGAGGTTTTAATGGGTATCCAGAAGAAAGGGTTTAATTGGCCTTCACCCGTCCAGGCTGAATGTATTCCCCACTCTTTGGCCGGTCGGAATATTGTCGCTCGGGCTAAGAATGGGACGGGGAAGACGGGCGCCTTTGTTATTCCTCTTCTCCAGAAGGTTTCAGCCGCCAAGCCTTATTTACAGGCCTTAGTACTGGTGCCTACGCGTGAGTTAGTCTTACAAACGGTTAAGGTCTGTAAGGAATTGGGACACTTTACTAAGCTAAAGATGTTTCCACTTTATGGAGGAGTAAGTGCTAAAGATGATGTAATTCGTTTAAAGAATGGAGCACATGTGATTGTAGGCACACCAGGCCGAGTTCTTGATTTTGTTTCGCAGGGGGTTATATGTTTAGATCAGTGTCGGTTGTTAGTTTGTGATGAGGCCGATAAGTTGTTGGGCCGGGAGTTCTGTGAAGTTCTTTGCCAGATTTCAGAGATGTTACCGGCCAAAAGACAGATAGAGATGTACTCAGCGACTTTTCCGCATACGGTGCAGGAGTATATTGATGGGTACATGCAAAATCCAGTGAAGATTAACTTAATGAAGGAGTTGGCCTTAAAAGGAGTTAAGCACTACTATGCTTATGTTAAGCCGGCTGATAAGTTGCATTGTTTGAAGACTTTGTTAAACCGGATTGATTTAAATCAGTGCTTTATCTTTTGTAACTCGATTAATACTGTTGAGAAACTAGCTAAGCGGATTACTGAGCTGGGTTTTGTCTCTTATTTCATTCATAGTCGGATGAAGCAGGAAGATCGCAACTTGGTTTTTCACAACTTTTCGACCAAGGGCGAGTGCCGAATTCTGGTCTCGACCGATCTAGTAACGCGAGGAATCGATGTTCCTAGTGTGAATGTTGTAATTAATTTTGATCTCCCTTGGAGCACAGAGAGTTATCTCCACCGAATAGGGCGTAGTGGAAGGTTTGGGACCGAAGGTATGGCTATAAACATGGTTACGCCGGGTGAAGCAGACAAAATTGCTGGAATAGAAGCTGATCTTGGTATCGAGGTGCAACCGTTCTCAGGTAAAGTTTAATAAAGCGTTGGCGCGTGCCACCCCACATACATAGGCCTAGTTAGTATATTGTTGGGATTTGACTTGCTTGTGTAAGATAATGATCAGGTTGATATTGAGTTGAGTTGGTATTGGGTTGAGTTGAGTTGAGTTGAGTATTTGAAGTAGTTGGTTGAGTATTTGAAATAGTTGCTATTTTATCTTTCATTTGAGATAAGATAAAGAATGGGTCTATCTTCTTTTTATTCACAATAATTTATATCTATATCTTTAAATGAATATGGATTTGGACGGTTGGGGCCTGGGTATATTAAAAGTAGTGGTGGTGATTTGGATGGCGTATAGAATAATGGTTGGTGGTGCTGGGAGGGAGAGATTGGATAGTATGGGGTTAGTATTGGGTGCTGGATCTCGAGTGAGGAGTTGTAAATTGGATAAATTGTGGGTTGTTATGGAGTTGTGGACGGGATTGTTGCTGTTGCGTGGTGTGATGGGATCGGATGAGCTTGAGGAAAGTGTGATGTTGGATGAGGCATGGTTACAGACTTGGCCGGCTCCGGATAAAATGATTGGGCGTTTGAACTCACTTGGGTTCTATTTTAATGTTCAGCGCGATTCCTTGTTCTTTAGACTATACATGCCTAGAGGATTGAATGAGGATGACTCTGCTTCTAACCCGCTTGTAAGTTCGAGTGCTTTATTGCAGAATGTTCCTGTGTTTGTGGTTGTGTTTACGGGTGTGAGTATTAGATTTGATTTGCCGAGGTATTTAAATGCAGATAAGGCTATGGCTGATTTGGCTATACTAAGAAAGATTGCTGTTATTTATGGTGTAAACGTGACCTATGGAGAGATTTCTTGTGCGAATGCGAATCCAGAATGTTATCGGGAAAACGTGCAAGTTTTATCTCGAGTTGTTAATATGTTTACTTGTGAATCTCTGAGCATTAAAGTGAATAGTAGCTACGAACTTACTGCTCAAGAAAGACAGCAGTGCTTTGACGTGTGTTATGCTGAGGCCCGGAATACAGTTGCCCATATTTCTTCTAGTTTAGATTGTCGGCTTACCTTTTCTTCCAATGTGCATGAGGGTTTGATGGACTTTCTATCTAGTGGTATTGTTATGTTGCGGCAGATTTCAAATGTTGGGCTGACCGGGTATGAATTCCAGGTTGCTTCTTCCCTTAGGAAATTACCGCTGGCCAAGAATTACACGGTCTGTTTTCAGTGGATGCCTGATGACGTCACCATTGATTGCAGTTTTCTTCAAGCGCCTTCTCCGCTATGTAAACGGATTGTTATTGATAATAGTGAGTTCACAAAGTTAAAAGTAACAGGTCTTGATGAAGCGGTTAAGCTTCACCCAATGATAGATCTGACGATATCTTGGGAGCACCTCTGCCTGTTGGTTAAGAATAATGACACTATGGTTCAAGTTTATAGTATCTCAGGCATTGATGCTGAGTTATACTTGAACCAAGTTATTGCTACATCCTCCCAAAAGTCGCCCCCTCTTGAGCTTCGGGTCTTTGCTGCAGTGATATATGTTGCTGTTGATGTCTGTATGCCATGTAGATCCTTGGCCCGTCATAAGGATCTATACTCTGTGGAAACATGTGCCCTGCGAGGAATCTCAGTAGATGAATTTAATGTCTTCTACTCTCCGGACCGAATAGACCTGTATCAGACACTAAAGGTGCTTAAGAAGATCTCGGCTTTAACTACAATACCAGCAGATGTTTGTAATGAAACTATTGTATGTTGCGGAGAAGAGTTAAGCAAACCAGGTTGGACGCTTAGTGAGGCTGTCAATATTGTTCTTAATGGTGCCGATGCAGACCGTAAATTCGCGGACCATCAAAACGCAAGGTTCTGCCAGAACATACACTATAGACTCATTGATATTACTGCGGCTGGTAGTCCATACCAAGGCCAGGTTCAAGTGTGCACTAATCTTCTACGTGTTTTCCAGAACATCACTGCCCGGCAGATTAGTATTACAGATGTCCGTGATCGGGTTTATGATCGGACCAAGTTTAATATAGATACTCTAAAAAGCGAAATGGCTGCCACCCCTAAATACTATCTTGACCTCCAGAAACTGATACTAGATAATGTTGATGAGTATATCATTTATTGGGTCTTGGGTAGTTACAACTTTGTCGGTTCGATCAAAGTATATATTCTAAACCAGCGCTTTACTAATCTTGCCATTGCCCAAGCCCTTTCTCTTCCTATCGCTCATAACATCACAACGCTCGTAATGGATGACTTCATAACATTAAATGAAGTTGGGCTGGATGAAGCACATGTGCCAAAGGAGGACTTCTCGCTATTCCGATATATAAGAGAAAAAGAAGGACAGAACCAAACCCACAAGGACCTTGGCCTATACAAACTGATTTTGATGCAGCGTAAAGAGCCTTATAGCCAGTATGTTAGCGCCATTACCCGGTTTTTGAACTATGGTGTTAATATCATGAATCATCCCTTTCAATTCTACATCAACAATGTAGCCAACCGCATTAATGCTGACACAATGGACAGAAGTATGCTTGGCATTTATGATATCACCCCTGAGGATCTGGCCACTGATATTGCCAATTGCCAGCTAAAAACTCAATCCCAAGACCATTCAATTCACAAGAACCCAGTCGAAAAGTTGTTTTTGAATTTCGCTGATAGCTACCAACTAACTGAAACAAACTTGTCAACAATCCTGCAGTGGGTGAGTTGCCGGTTCAAACGGCTGAATGTTTTGCAACTTTCTAGTGTTACCATATCCTCGCAAGATTGGAATAATATAACCTCGCGTAAATACTTGGCTATTGGCCTTGGTTTCGTCAAGGTTCTTTATTTGACCAAAGCACATCGGGATTGGCGGGTCAATCTATTAATTCATCCATGCCAAAACACTCTCTTAACCGCCGTCACTAATCCTCAAGCCGACCTTATAGTTGTGTCTGGTGCAATACTGTCTTGGCTTTTCACTCATCAGAATACACCCGATGATCGTCTTGCTGAGTATATTGCCATCGAGGCATATCTGCGAATGATTATAACTGATCTCCAAAGAAATCCCACCGGTGTCTCGTGTTTGGCTTGCTGCTATGAACTTTACGTGCCAAGTACAAGAACGGACGAGGAGGGACCGCTGGCCAAAAGACAGTCTATCAGGTTCAGCGAAACAGACCACTTTAAGACCTTCTGCTACTTCAGGTGTGGCCACACACTCTGCAGTAAATGTGCACTTCAAATTAAGACGAAATCAGTTATTAGCTGTCCGACCTGCCGGGGACAGTATGAGATTAAGACTGTTCATAGACTTATAAGCATTCCGTTCTCTAGTTTTGTCTTCATCCAGGACAACAGCAGTGTATCGGCCGCGAACCAGGCCTGGCTCGATGCCAAGAAAGTGCGCGATGGCCAGGTTTATTTCTATCTTTCCTATGCAGATATGTTCGATTTTGAAGCGGATCATGACCGAGAAGTATGGTATGATATGAATCAAAAAGTCTATGTTATTTCGGGATAAACGAATGATCATGCAAGCTAGAGTTTAAGTCGTACTATGTCTCAAGTAGTATGAATTTATTGATTGTGTTGCGGTCTTAGTTCCGGCAACGATATGCATGTTAGTTACACTCTTCTAAATATGGTTAGATTTAGTAAGAATGTCCTTGGCTTAAAACAGAGTTAGAATAGTACTAGAGACAGTTGCTTGACATGCACAGTTTATTATTCCTTCGGGTCAATATGGAAAAGATCAGCTGTAAGCTTTTGATTAATAAATTGATCTGAATAGTTATGGCCTGGCGTTGTTTTTAGTTCGTCCACGTCTAATTGGATTTAAATATCAACTGACTTATCATTGAGTTATAGACAAATGACATAGAATTGTAAGGCAAGATCGTTTGTTGTCTTGCTGTCAAAATCGGTGTTTATCTGATACTTACTGCCATAGAGTATGTAGAAGTAAGTTGGTTGGTTACGTATTGTCTCAAAAGTGAACCGTTCAAGAATACTAGCGGGCACCATTGAATTATCCTCAACCAATGCGATGTTAGGTAGACGGCCATATCTAAGTTGATGAATGCCGCAGTACAAGCCATCGGACCGGCATATGGGACATCTACTTGGCGGCTGGATGCTAAGTATACATACACTACAGACGAAATGCCCGCACTGTAAATAACAAAGTGTTGTAAAGTTGTCAGTCTCGTTAAAGCAGCGGCGCTGTTTCTTGGTCGGTGGGTCATCTTGGTTTGAATCTGCTTGTCTTGTCTCGTCTGTTAGTTCTAACCCATCTACTTTTCTTATCTCACTTGTTGGTTCTATCCTATCTGCCTGTTTTTCCTTGTCTGCTAGCATTTTCATTACTTCGTCTATCTGCGTTTTGATTTCATCTGGTAGATAAAGGTCTCGGAGACAGGCCGGGCAGGTAGCTTGGTTGATATGCGTCCTGAGGTACTTTACGAACTTGTGAAGGGAAGTCTTGGGGTTTATCTGTTTGAGGTCCTGGCCAAGAATTTGGGGCAACATTTCTGATGCCACAACAGCGGCAGCAGGTGTAGGAGAAGCAACATTGATCAGTCGAATAGTGTGGTACGGTTGAATTTGCATATTAACACAGTAGTTCGTTTGTTTTCTGCCATGTAACCGAACAACTTTGTATATACCATTGCCAACAACCAAGTAGTCACGAAATTCTAGCGCTATCCGAGTGGGTTCGGAGATCTTAACATTGGCTAGTCGCAAAGTGTTCAAATCCAAGAATCGGTAGAAAACCCAGCGAAGAATTAGTGATAGATTGGCTTCAATTAACGGCACACTGTTGCTAAAATGCAAGAACAGCTTAGTAGCGAAGTATTTTCTCGTGGTTGAAGGGGTTGGAGGGGCTGGAGTGGTGTTTTGGAGCGCATAGGCATGTGTTAAACAGCGGGCCAAATCAGCTTTTAAGGCCGCCAAAGTAAGGCCGAAAAGCTTGATCCAATTATAGTCCAGTGAAAGGGCAGTATCGCATACTTTTACTGCGTGGGTAATGTAACTTTCAAGTGCAGCCACCTGATAGCGGATGCCATAGGCCAAAAACTTGCTTAAGACGTCGCTATATGAAATCTCCTCGCCACTGAACATTGCCAGAAGCAGCTTGTGTATGCCTAAACTTGTACGTGCCTGGTTACTTTCTCGGGCTTCCTCTATGTATCGAAATACTGAGAAGTCCTTAATTTTGCCTAGTTGAAGACAATGCTTGGCTTCATCTAGATCTAGGACGTTATTGAGCACGAGACTTGCAATGCTGTAAGCAATCGGAAGAGAAAGGATTTGGACGATGGCAAGATTAGTAAAGCGCTGGTTTAGAATATATACATCAATCGAACCGACAAAGTTGTAATTTCCCAAGACCCAATAAATGATATGTTCATCAACATTATCTAGTACTAACACCTTAAGCTTGAGATACCAACTAGGCGGGTCGGTAGTAGCTATTTGCATAGTGGCTAGGTTAAAGTTCGTTAGTAACTGGTTCGTAGCACGGACATTGCAGATGGTAAGCCGCTCGGCTGTGATGTTATGGAACAGAGATAGACCGGCCATACAATCCTCGATTTGGCCTATATATGGAAGTACACTCCCAAATATTTCAATGCTTGTATAACGTATATTCTGACAAAAGAATCTAGAATGCCTTTTGTATCTCTGTATATTCTGTATAAATTGGGGCGTCTTAAGTCTGATGCTGACGGGCTTGTGGCACACCCAGTTAGGGTTATTAAGTGTCTCGCCAAGGCAATGAACAGCTCTCGTTATAACGTCTGTCGGCTTAGCTGATAATCCTCCCAGCTTGTAAAGCAAACTTATAGTTTGATCCAAATCGTCGCGGTCTTCGTCATAGATGATCTCGCACTCTTTAACTGAGATTCCATATTTAGCATACAATGCTTTGTTGTAAATCTGTCTGTAGTGCTGTTTGGGTCTGCATATCATATCGGCAGAGACGATCGCAATGGCCTTGATGGCAGAGATCCGAGCCTCCACATGCGTATGCTCGTGATGTGATGGAAGTGGTGATTGGTCCTGTTCATATGATTCATAACCTTCAAAGCCTATAATAGTATGAACTCTGATAGAAGCTATATTGTATTTGCCCAAATACTGAAGAGTTGTCCAGTTCGCCTTTAGGACTATTTCTGGATGGGCGGCGATAGCATTATCAAGGCCGGTTAATGTCACTACAGGGACGTAATAATCTTCCATGGCAATCTGGTGGCACCTGGGAGCTGGCGGCTGGAGAAATTCGAAGGCAATGTTAATCTTACCGGACACCTGCTGAAGATAGATGGTGTAACCTTCTGCTAATGGAAGACGGCTAACTAAATTGATAGATCGAAGATTATGGCCTTCTATCACAATTTCTACAATTGGCCGCAAAAAGACGATACCGCTATAGACTAAGTTCGGGAGACTACTAGTTGAAGCGCATGAAAAGATGATTCGGCCGCGTTTCTTATAGTTCGCATGGTCAAGTACGTTCTGTGCTTCTTTTCGGCAAATATCTAGATGCCTATCGATATCACCCACCTCTTTATCCAGATTGCCATCAAATTGAAGACAGAGATTGTCAGAGTCTAATAGGTTAATAAGACGGGATAGAATTCGTAGATTTTCCTGGCGACAATTTGGATTGGCTGATGCATATAAAATATCCATGGTATAGAGTTTATCGCTCCTAATAACAGCAATCTTTTTTAACAACTTTAGATAGGATAAGGCCACGCCTGCATCGGGATAGTTCGGCAATGAAAATTGCAGACATGTATCAAAATGCGTTATCACATAACTGGGAGCTGGATGGGCTGTATTGGAGGTGTCTAAGGTCAAGGCTAGGTTAATGTTAGAGATAGGATGTGCGCATTTGTTGGGAATATAGGGTGCGACCCCTATCAACGAATTAAACCGCGAATAAGAAAAGCCAAGTAGCTGCAGAGCTTTAATCATTTGGCCCGGGTCTAGTAAATCCCGCTGAAGCATCTCATCGATATCACTTGATCCGCCAACACTGCTCAATAAGAACAACAAAAGACACAACCCGCCGCCAACTCTAACTCTAGTCGCCTTATAAGACCAGGTCTTTGTGGCAACGGCATTCAGGGCAGTGTTGTCGGGTTTAGCGGTATACCCAACACTAGCGGGCTGTCCACAGGATAAAAAGGTATCTATCACTAGTTGTAATATACTGTGAGCCGGCCTTAATAAAGACTCTTTCATATGTAAAGATAGAGACATATATTATTATGAATAAAAATTAAGATAACCAGCGTCATAACTACCTGCAAAGAAAGTCATGAACACCAACCCAATGACATTCATCTATTTAAATACTACAACCATTAGTATCTAGGATATTTGGCATATAGATTCTACATCTTGCTCTTAGTAAAGTTTGGTTTTGCCTGACTTGAGCTCAATTTATTGATTAAGAGATAAAGTGTTAGTATTGGATTATTATAATAGCTCGACTAAACTCCACTTTAAATATACTATCTACAGGAACAAGGTTCTTTATTAGTTGTTGAAGTTTCTCCTATCAAAAAGAATGCTAGTATGTTTTGAATTTTGATATCATAATCTCAGAATAAAAACACAATCTAAGTTTACAAGAAACTAAAATAAAAATGAACTGTTCTGATTTTGTGTTTAAGTTGAAGTTGGTTTTTGTTTATTACTAAGCCAGAATGTATTAAAGTTAAAGTTGACTTATAAATGATATCAAAATGAGATAAGAATAAATAAACGATCGGAATTATTAACATTGAGATTGCTTTGTTTATTTAGGAATACGGTTGTTGTTATCTCCTCAAAAGAAGAGATACCAATCATATCCGAGCAAAAAGGGCCAATTCAGATCAAGACTTACATTTCATTAGTAGTGCAGTTAAAACCTGCACTCTTTCCGAAAGAGTAGTGCGTTAGATCTTTCATTTGTTGTTTTGATCAAAAGCAGACTGTTTCTCCATTACTAGCTAGTTCCACAAGTATATGCTGATATTCACGTACCATGGCATTACAGTCCAGTCTATTGGCATTATTCTCAGCAAGCCTGCCTAAATAGGAGAGAAGGCTCTGAGCTAGTTGAACTGCATTCACAATTATGTTTATGGACTGCAAAGCTTCGATGCGTTGGGTTGAGCTTTGTTTCATTGTCCTCACTTCATGAAGCATACAGTTCAATAATCCAGTGAGATGTAACTCGCCACACCCGGGTACACCAGTAGAGTTTAAGAGTGGGCTCGGAATAGTAAGGCAAGATTGAGCTTTCGCAAGTGCTTTTGCATTGAAAGATAACGTTTCAGAGATCATTGCCAATACTAGTTTACACAGAATAACTTCAGTGGTTGGATCTAGACTAATAGCTAGTGCTGAACTACTATCGATGCTTTCTTCTGGCAAAGAAGCAATTGTCTTCTCCGGCCTGTCCAGTCTGTCCAGTCTGTCTAGCTTTCTAGCAATTGTATTGCCATAGTAAAGCAGCAACTCAAAGCGATTCTTAAGCCAATCTCTAGCATACACCACGTGCTCCTTTTCAAAATCTCTATTCGCCTCCGCCCACTCCCGCATATTCACACTAAACACTTCAGTACAATTACTCGAGCCAAGCCATACCTGCTGGTCACTAAGTTTCTTCCAGTTAAATCCAACGATTCGTCCTAAGTGTGCTATTAATGGACAAGCTGATTTGATTTTGAGATGAGTTAGTGGAGGATTGGCGACATTCTTACTTTCAGATATTTCAATTCTCTTGGCTATCAGCCACTCCAGCTCTACATTTATACTTAAGTATCCAACACAGTCTACATACACTTCACTCTTGTCGACTTCTAACCCAATTTCTAACCTAATTCTTTGTAGTCCCAAGGTCAATCGAGGCGTTATGAAGAGTTCCTGCAATGACTCCTTCCAGTGACCAACACGAACATCGAGAGCATAAACGAAGATAACCCCAAACACACAAACCTGTTCTATTCGGGCCTGTGGTGCATACAGCACCAATCGCTGTAATGCATATACACCAGCCGAATTACTTTCACCCCATCCAGGTATGGTTAAGCTAATTGTCTTTACTCGCTCGTCTAGAACTACCAAGCTGACCACTTGAGTATTAGTGTGAGCTATGGCCAAGAGGTGCCTGGCATTCAGTTGATCATTTGAACACATCCTAAGACCAGCCGAAACTAGCCAGTATATCTCTAGGAAATACTTGCGACTCTTGTCAAGCATCCATACAACTAACTCCTGGGTGTAATTTAGTCCTTCTTGATCCTCCCGTGCTGGTAAACAGAGCGGCGAGTCTACCAGCAACAGAAATGGCCTCGCAGTACACACTCGGGCTTTTCGGCAAAGATCCCTCTGTTCGTCTTGGGCTGGGGATGTAGTCTCCAAAGCATCACTCCACTTAATTATCACTCCAGGCCGTTTTAAACCTAGTTGGTCCACAGCCAACTCTAGCTTTAGTCTTTCGCTGACCTTAGTTGCCATAGCCTTCCCGAACTGATCTCTCTTAAGAGACACCCAAACCAAAGAGGACGCGTTAGATTCTACTTTAACAGGACTATCGATCGTGTTCAAATTAGTATCTAACCGGCCTACTGCCAAAGGCTCTATTGTCGCAAGACCATGGGATTTGTCTAGTTCATTAAGCCGGTTACATAGCTCCTTATTACGAAAGTCAATCAGCGCCAGACCAATCAACTCCACACACACTAATACCGATAATATTAAAGCCTTAGCATGCCCCAGCCTATCTTCCATTTCAAAAATCTAAGATAAAGCCTTAAAGTAAGCTCAATCTAGCTAGATAAGATCATTAAATAGTTGTTGATTTATTGTCATATTATGAGTCCATACTCGATATTCCTTACTTTAAGACACTTTTCAAGTCACTACTACCTTTATTACACCTTAATTATATCATAAATTGATATTTTGATTTAGGGTGAAATTTGAACAGGGGGGTCAAAAATAAAAAGACAAATTCCAGGCTCAGGAATTTTGATTTTTTCCTTTTTAGATCGCAATTTTACTCCCAAAACGGAGATTTCCCTTATAAGGAAAATTTCCAAAGTATAAATACAGAGAGAATTTGAGGTCCGTGGCACTGCGAG